GCCGTCGTGACTTCAACGTCATGAACGGCCTCATGGCGGCTGGTCTCTCAGACAAGGTTGTCGCCGGTAACTTCTTCCGCGTTACGAACGCCGGACCCGTTGGTGCTGGTCAAGGAACTGGTGGTGGAGGTAGCCGCGGTAACAGCACCGGTGGCGGAGGCGGTACCATGCAGCCTAAGCCGATGCCGATGCCCGCCCCTGCGCCTCCTGCCGGAACCCCGACTACCCCCGGTGGCGGTGGAATGCCCGGTATGCCCAACATGCCCGGCATGAGCATGGCTCCCGGTATGACGATGCCCATGCCCGGTATGCCGGGTGCTAGCGCGCCCCCTATTGGTGGTGCTCAGCCGTCGAACCCTGCCCGCGCCAGTGGTCTCAGCCTCGCTCCTGGTCTCGGCCTCATGACCATGGGTCTCTGCCTCATCGGTTCCCTGTTCGTCTTCATGTAACCTTTACGGGTCGTGACGGGCACAGAAAGTGATCCAGGTTAGGGAGTTTTTGTTACACTTGCTGAAGAGGCCAGAAGATGTTTTCCTTTCTTTTCCTGGCTGCCGCTATAAGCTGAATGTGGAGGGATGCTAGTCGTATATAGGGTAGAGCAGCATGCCAATACAATAGCTAAGACGCGGCCACATTGCGTTTCGTTCACTTTGTAGTTGTGATTAGCTCGTCTTAGTGATGTCTATGATCCCAGTCCTCCGGACAGACATCCTGGTAATGGTTCGCTCGCTAGCACCACATCCCTACCTGTGGATCGTGGAGCCAAAACAGGCCAACGGTTTTGGCGCAAACTTGGCAAACTTGCATCTCCCACCGATAAACCATCATGACAGCGCAATTGATGGGTCGATTTTGCTGACAGCAACAGTGGTGAGAGCCAACTGAGTGCCACGACTCAGCCCCCCGGGACTGTCAAGATCGAGGTCGGAGGGACTGCGTGGCCGGGTCGGGACAAGAACGTAGCCAGCTCGGGATAAGGACCTGGCCGGTCCGGAGGGATTTGGGTCCAGTCCCCGAAATCCTGGCTGGGTGGCCTTCCTCCGCACGGGCCCGGGGTACTGATCATCCCCGTGTCACATGTACAATCATGTGATCTCGTCACGCCCTTCCTTCCCGAGAGGGTCGTCACGACCTGCCATCATATGGATCCTTAGTCATGCCAGCGCCGGCCCTTCGATGTCTCAGTGTCTGCAAAAAAGTCCGCTCCGCACCGCGCGCTCACTCGCACTCTCAAACACAGCTTTCCCTTGCAAGTGTGCTACTCAGTTTTCAATGTCTTTCTTGATCTAGGCCCGTTTCTTGCAGTTGTTCCCTTGCAAATAGCGCAAGCGGATGTTTTTCCCCCTTTCAAAGCATTGCATGAGTCACTTACACCTGCTTTTCTCGCGCGCCTAGTCTACAGGTAATAGATTGTAGTCGCCTACCTGACTAATAACTGTATCCGCCCCGAGCGGCTAATCCGTACGATGCGCCTTGTCACAGCCCACAATGATCAATCTAGCACCTGAGGTACCCGTCTAGATCTCTATGTGAGGTGTGGTTCCTTCCGTCTTGGGTATCCGTCCGGGGTTGACGACTTGAGACTTCCGGGAGGCCCTGTCGATGGCTCGGGTGCTCTACAGCGAAACGGAGCAGAAATGTCTCCGAGTTACACCGCGTACTACACCTTGGCGCCCAATTGAACGCAAAAAAAACCTAGGCGCAATTGTGAAGCCCGACTTCCCCATCGTCCACAACTTTAACCACGAGTTGACGCATACCAAAGTCCTGCCCCGTTCAATCTTGTATAAAGCATTTCTCGTCGCCACGCTCTGCTCCTTGATACTAGAGGGTTTAGTTTGCCTATCCACCTCAACTCATACATCTTCCCAACGTTTCGAAACGAATCAGAAACCCGGCAGAGCTACATCCTAGCATAACTGCAAGGGGGGTCAGAAACCCTTAATACAACCTACCGCTGTTTGCAAGCTACCTTACCAAGCTCCCGAAGCTATAGAAGCTTCGTAACGCAACATCCCCCCATCTTGCCTCACACACCAACATACCGCAAGTCTCAACAGCCACGCGATAATGCCTACCCTCGTCGTTCTTGGTGCTGGCCTTGCCGGCCTGCCCATTGCACACCATGCCTTGAAGCATACAGTGCCGCTGGTAAAGGACCTGAAGGTCATATTGGTGACGCCTAACTCTGAGCAGTAAGTTCCCATACTTGGTGGCGTAGCACGCACATACACACGCACTATGCAAGACGTCATCCACTTACACCCAAGCTTCACAGCTACTGGAACCTGGCTTCCGTCCGCGGCGTTGTGCCTGGCCAATTTGGCGACGACGTGCTCTTCCATCCCATTGAGCCATCATTTGCAAAGTATCCCAAGGAAAGCTACGAGGTCATTATCGGTAAGGCCGAGCAGCTCAACGACGACAAGAACACCGTCGACGTAGTGGTCAACGACGGCAGCCGCAGGTCCATCGCCTACGACGCCGTCGTCATCGCGACCGGCACCCGCGCGAAGGAGAGCATGCCGTGGAAGGAGGTCGGCACGACGGAGGAGACCAAGAAGGCGCTCGGCGACATCCGCCGGCAGCTCTCCGATGCGAAGAGCATCGTCGTCGCCGGCGGCGGCGTCACGGGCACCGAGACGGTGGGCGAGATCGGCTTCGAGTACTCGCAGAAGCGCAGCAAGGACGTCTACTTTATCTACAACGACGAGCTGCCCCTCGGCTCTCCCTTCACCGACAGCGTGCGCAAGGCGGCGCTCAATGAGCTGCAGAAGCTCAATATCAAGACGATCCACAACACCAAGGTCACGAGCGTGAAGACCGAGGCCAACGGCCAAAAGACGCTCGAGCTCACGGACAAGAGCGGCAAGAAGACAACGCTCCAGACGGACGCGTACCTGCCGACCGTCGGCGCCATCCCCAACACCGCTTTCTTGCCGTCCAACATGCTCGACCCGCCCGGGTACGTCAAGCAGGACAAGAGCCTGCGCGCGGTCGGCCACGACAACATCTTTGTGGTGGGCGACGTCGGCAACCTCGAGGGCGGGTACGGGCGGCTGGCGGACCTGCAGGTGCAGCACGTGGTGAAGAGTATCCAGGCTCACTTCACGGGCGCGCCCAGGCCGGCGCCGTATGTCGTCGACCCCAAGGTCGTGGCCGGCATCACGCTTGGACGGAGCAGGGCTACCGGCCAGATGGGAACGTGGAGGTTGCCCAGCATCATAATCTGGGCGTTCAAGGGCCGGTATATCGGCACTGACTACGCCAAGGATTACGCAGCGGGATCAAGAACCATGACGGTCACCAAGAACTGGTAGAGAGAGAGAGGGAGAGAGAGAGAGAGAGGCATGAGAACCGGCTAATGGTAGATGCATACTTTGGTGTTCAGGCGCTTGTGATCATGGAAGGGGGGAAAGCACTTCGTAATGTAGGGCTGGCAGGCTACTTGAGCGAGTCGAGCCCGCGGAGTCCAACAATCTTGGCTTTTGATGTTTTCGGTGTCATTCCGCGTGGCAATGGAGTTTCCTGGTTTCTCTGGTATGATGGTATTCCTCGACTGGTTAGACTAGACGGGATTGAATGATAATCTTAATCCTGAGCATGCGTGATCAACGTGGTGATGGTAACACCGGAACGGTGAAGGTTAGGTTGAAGGGCGCGACCCACACAATCCAAGTGGACACTGTGGATTTGGCAGAAATCTCTGCAGTGTCGTACAGTGCCGACGAGCAGTGAGAGAGATGTGTCTTGCACGGTAAGACCGATGGGTCGGGTCCCCAGAACGGCCTAGCGCCGAATTCCAGCAGCTTCAAAAGGGCGGCTCGCTGCGAAAATTCTTTCTCTCTTTCTTCTTCTTTTTCTTTTCCTTAGATCAAAAAGTAACCCAGAGCTGCCACGACCTACACCCAGTCTTTTCTCACGGTGTCGCGTTGCCTTTTCCTCTCTTCGGAGTTGGATCGCTCTGCAGATTAAAATTCCCTGGATTATAGGAAGTCTCTCCCCAGGCCCATTTCACGGGCGGTGGGTGAGGGATGCTGTTGATGGGGGACATGCCATATTCTCAAAACTGGCATGGGTCGTAAATTCTTGTCCGCGCTTGGTGCTCGCCACGATCGTCGAAAGAAAACCCGACGCTATCTTTGAAATAGTGAGACCTGTGGTGCCAGGAACCCGGATAGCCGCTCACTGCCTCCTAGCCGTGGACTTGATTTCCGTTTGCGAATGGAAGAGATATGACGGTTTGGAGGAAAGTGCCGACTCTCTGACCTTCGCTCCTCCGTTGGGTAGCCAGGAACGGCGCCGGCAAGTGATGCAAGAATGCCCTGAGCCTCATCCCCTGTCTACCTAAGTTGACGCCATTCTGATGGGCTAGACTGGATTGATGCCATGATTGCCATTCCCTACGTGCCGTAACTGGATTCAAACTTTGTATGAAAGTGGTGGAAGGCAGAGAGCATGCCAATGACACCTCTCGTCATTTTGGAGGAAAGGAAGGTGCAGTCAGCATGGCCTGCACTTCGTACCTTACCTAAGATACTCCTCAGCGAACCATGAAGAGAAGAAAGGTGGATCCGCTATTGTAGGAGTTCCTGCCGTAAGGGAGCCTCCGTCCCTCCTGGTTCCTTCCATTCCCAGTGCTGTTGCCGTGAGGGTCGATCGAAATCCCGAAAGGACGAGACACAGCCGTGAGAGCCTCAGGTACAAGGGAGAAATACCCAGGCACGAGAAAACAGCGGTTTGGGTTCTAGACTGTTAGTCCCGAATTTGCACGTGTCTTGGTTTCTGAAGACAAGTCGACAGACGGTTGAAAGCGTTCCCATAGGCCCTCTTTCTCGCGCTCTCTCTCTCCCCCTCATCCACTCTTTTCCTTCCGTTGAGGTGTAACCATGCCACATGTCTTAGCCCCTGGCTGCATTCTTGGCCATGCTCTCCGAGCAATGCTGCTGCGCGTCAACGCCCCGGCACCCGTCTGAGTCTCTGATCCCGACAAACACAATATGTGCCCTTGCCTCTTTTCGTCTGTCGTCGTTGCCAAGCGGGTGATAGTATCCCCACCTCTAGCAATCAAGCAACACCAAGGAATTGGGAGATGGTTATCCTCAATCCGACTTCTCGGATCAGCCGCACCACCTCTAGCATCCACTCCGGCCCTCAAAGGTGGATATTACCGCATGCTTTGCCTCTCGCGCAGGATGGAAAGGACATGTCTGATGTCAACGGCTCCTACCAAGGGGACCATCGTCGTCCGGACCCGGGCACTGAGGAATGTACCGCAATGTCCCGGCATTCCCACCAAGATGCTTGCTTTCATACTCCGTACAGCCAGTCGAGGAGGGACAACGTACCCAGGGGCCCGTCAGGCCAGTGAGTGTTCCAGCTAATCCCCTTCTTGGTTCTTGGCTCGTTCTTTTGCCGTGCTCCTGACTGTCGCTGATCTCTCCCTATAAGACGAAGAGGCCGGCCGTGATGAAGGAAACTCTCGGATAAGCTCTTTCGTTCCCCAGTTCTCTCTCTCCTCCCCCCCCGTCCCCCGGTCTTCCCCCCAGAAGAACTCTCGCTTCACCCGGTCATTCGTTGGACTCTGTCCCCTCACATTCGTTCCGTAATTCCAGGATAACCTGTCTGTCGCTCGTTCCGTACAGCTCAATCTAATCCCTCGCGCGCCCATACAACTAATTTCAAATCCTCAAACCATATACACCTAATCAACTCTTCCCCCAAGCTAGTACTAAACAACAGTCAAGATGAGGTGAGAACAGTATCCCCTTCTCGATACAGCACCATCGCCTCTCGTATAAAACAGACTTGCTGATACAACCTTCAGTTCCGGAGCCCTCACCACCTCGGCCTTCTTCACCTGCGACCCGGCAGTCACGGTCACCGCCACCGCAACCACCAATGTCTACACCACCGTGTACACGACAACGGCTCTCGCCGCCAACCCTTCCACGTCGTGGATGGCCACTTACACAGTGACCGAAGTCTGCACTGGCCAGCCGTGGGAGTACGTGACCAAGGACATCCCCCCTTGCTTCGCCCCCACCACCGTCTACTGCGAGCCCTGCGCCCAAAAGACCATCCCCATCATCTGCCCCATTCCGACGCCTACCGCCGACGTCGTTATCAACGGCAACGGTGTCACCATGAACGCCAACCCCGTCATCACTGCCGCCCCCTACGGCGTGTACGGCTCCTACGGCTCCTACAGCAACGGGAACGGCCAGGGTACCGGCAACGGAGGCGGAGCCAACAACAACAACAACGGAGGCGGCCAGAACGGCGGTGGCTCCAACAACGGTGGCTCCAACAACGGTGGCTCCAACAACGGTGGCTCCAACAACGGTGGCTCCACCCCTGGCGGCGGTGCTGGAGGTAACGGCGGTGGCGCCAATGGCGCTGCTCCGTCTGGCAGCCAGGGCGCCGGAAGCTACGGTGTCTACGGCAGCTACGGCTCTTACAACAACGCTGCCCCTGGTGGCGGCTCTCCTGCTCAGCCCGGTCAGTCCGGTGCTCCTGGCGCTGGTGGTGCTCCTGGCGCTTCCGGAGCTCCTGGTGCCGGCGGTGCCCCCGGTGCGTCTGGCGCTCCCGGTGCCGGTGGTGCTCCCGGTGGAACTCCCGCTCAGTCTGGTGCTCCTGGTGCCCCTGGCGCATCTGGTGCTCCCGGGACCGGCGGCTCTTCCGGTGGTGCTGGAGGTGCTGGTGGTGCTCCCGGTGCGTCTGGCGCTGGCGGCTCTGGTGGCGGTGCCTCTGGCTCAACCGCCACGGGTGGTGCTTCCGGCTCCAAGCCGTCCACAGTCCAGGTCGCCTCGGCACCGTCTCTCAAGCAGAGCCTCGGCCTCCTTTGCGGTATCGCAATGGCTGCCGGCCTTACCATCTTTGCTTAAGACGACCACTACTCTCTAGTCTTCTGATTCTCATCCATGGCATCTCCCCATTTACAAACGCCGTGTGCTCGCGTCCCCAAAGACTAAAAGAGAAGGGAAAGAGGAAAAAGAAGGGGGTTTCACGGAGAAAGGGGTTCAAAATGGAAATACGGGTATTTTGATCCTTGTTTCTGTGTAAATCCCTTTTTTGGCTATAATTCCCGGGAGTTTCCCTCGATTTCTCTCATACATGAAAGAAAGTTGTCATTTTGTTTTTACTAATTGGCGGCATTTGTGGGCTACTGCTGCCCACAGCGGAGTTGACATAGGTGGACAAAGGGCCCTAAGGTGTTGCGATATTATTTTGAATCAATAACGTTACTTGTTGTGTTTTTTTAGATTGAAGTACGAATACAGGTTTTTCCTTTTGGGTGTTTTGCTATGATCCCCTTTTCTCTCTCTCGCTTGATGTGGTGAAGTTGAATGCTAGGTAGTTGGATTCCCCGCGCTTTGATCACCGCCAAGCCCGTTGACAGAATCACGCTATGGGATGACGTTGCGAGGGGTAAAAGTGTGGTAGGACAAGGGAAGGCGAGTGCCAATTTCAAGCCAGCTTTCATTTCGTCGTGAAGGCTTCCGTAAATAAAAACCAAAAAAAAAAAACCGAGAATGATTGAGATACCAAAGAAAAACGCCGCCCGATTTCAATCAAAAGGCTTGTGTGTATCCAGGCTTTCTTTAGTGGTGCTTTCCTTTTGCTTTGGGTCTCTGCCACAGGCGTTGTTTTTGGTCGCGCTTTGTTTTCTCATTGAAGAATGCCGTCTTCTCCCTTGCTACGGTGCTGCTGGCGGATGAATTCCTCCACCTGGACGTCGTCGTACGGCCGTTCGGGTGGTCCTGGAATTCCTGGACGCGAAATCTTTTCCTCCTTTTCCTCCTGCGGGTTACCGAGGATCTTGGCGGCGGCTGGAATGTACTGTGTCACTTTTTTTTGTGGAAATTGGTCCATGATGAGCTACACGTATTCTCGACAAATTGGATGGAGGAAACACCAAGGGGGGGGGGGGGACTGAAGTGGCTAGGACGGAGCTGGGCTGGGCTGGATGGTGAGGGTTATGCCGTGGAAATTGTAGAGGTTATTGGAACTGCTGTGATGTGATTTGACATGATTGCAAAGGCGGGACGGGCGTGATGCTTTACCAACCTTTTTCGACAATAGGGTTCTGCTTGGGCTCTTCTTCGGATTTACGGGCGTCGTGGGCCGCTTGATCCAGCTTCTGCTTGAAGCTCAACTCGCGGCCTTTGTGCGTGATCTGAGGCTCAGGCGCGAACTTGCTGTTGGGTTCGGCGGACATGATGGGTGGCTGTGCTGAGACTTAGTTGATTGGTGTCGGGTGATAGGTGGGAAGGGGATTCGGATGCGATGATGGTGTGGTCGTCAACGTGGTAGGGCTGAGACGGTGGATCGATGTGCGATATCAGATGGGCCGCGGAGGAGAGAGACGATAGTGACAGTAGGGCGATAGTATTGAATAAGGCTACTGAGTTTCTTGTGAAGTCAAATTGAGTTTCTCGAGTGTGGCGGAGCAACAGGCATTGATAGACTAGAATGTGAGATGGAAGGAGAAAATAGCCCGACAGGGCTGGGGGAGCTGGGGAAGGGGGTTACTTCAAGTAATACGGTAAGGTCGGCCAGGATTCAAACGTGGCATACGGTTTTGCGCGGGCTGAGGTGTAGGTATGGGGCCGCTGGGATAGACTGGGCTGGACCTGAATGCAGCAAAGCAAGGACTTGGCCGAGGGAGGGGACAGACGGTGACCGCGCGTCCCAGCTCCAGGCTATGATCGCATAAGTCTGGGCGGGGGACAGGACCTTTTCCTCCAGGTTTTCGTTGGAGAATTGGTGCGATTCAAGTCGATTTTTCGGGGAGGACGGCTGATCTGGTGCCTGCCGTGCTTGCCATGGTTTGCTTGGGTGCTGTCGATGTGATGCAGGAAAGATGGTGTGAGCCACCCGCAAACTGGGGCCAATGACGTCAAACCGCCTAGCTCGGCACTGTAGTTCCCTTGGCTGCCCGCTAAGATAACCTTAAAATCCCCAGTCGAAAACACTCCTTATCGGCTCTTATCGGACACAGGCTTCTTATCGGACTATCCGGGCGCTCTGCGACCCCTCCATCCCACCACCACGCGACAACCCGCTCCCGAGCGGCGGCGCCATTTTCCTCAACCCAAAAAAAAAACCTGAGCGGTGATCTGATGTAGGCAATACAGACATCAAATACCAAAAGCTTATCAGCTGTAATTCTCCCAGCTGTTCTGTGCACAGTTCTTCGATTTTTGTAGAATTTACCGACACCCGCGTGCGCGCACTTTGCGAGTTTTTCTTCTTTTGCCAATCATGGCCCCCATTCCAATTACAATCATCACCGGTTTCCTCGGCTCCGGCAAGACGACGCTCATCCTCAACCTCCTCCCCCAGCTCAAGGCCGCGAATCCGTCCTACAAGCTCGCCCTCCTCAAGAACGAATTCGGCGACCTGGCCGTCGACTCCCAGCTGGCCTCCTCCAGCGCCATCTCGGGCGTCCAGGAACTCCTCAACGGCTGCATCTGCTGCAACCTCGTCGGCCAGCTCAGCGTCGCCCTCGCCGAGCTGCACGCCACCGTCCGCCCGGACCGCATCGTCATCGAGACGAGCGGCTCGGCTTTTCCCGCGACGCTGGCCCTCGAGGTCAACCGCCTCGCGCGCGAGACGGGCAACTACACCCTCGACGGCGTCATCAGCGTCATTGACACGGAGAACTGGAAGGGCTACGAGGATACGAGCTACACGGCGCGTATCCAGGCAAAGTACACCGACTTGATCGTCTTCAACAAGTGGGAGCTGTGCTCCGAGGACCGCTTCGACGAGGTCCTCGACCGGGTGGGCGACCTCGAGGTGGATATCCCCTGGGTCAAGAGCAAGAAGGGCTGGGTCGGCGCTGACCTTGTGTTTGGCGTGGATGGCGGTCTCGCGCAGGGCCTCAAGGAAGAGCACACGCACGATCACGATCACAAGGGAGAGGACCACGCGCACGACCATCAGACAGAGGTTGAGGTACTCTCAATCGAACTCAAAGGCCCCAAGAACGCCGCTGTCAACGTAGACAGCCTGCAGAAGCTCTTGCGCGCCGCGCCAAAGGACGAAGTATATCGCATAAAGGCCGTCCTGACCGCGTCGTCGACGGTGAGGGACTCGGACGAGGACTCTCAAATTCCCACGCCGCCGCACCCAAAATCTCGGTACATTCTCAATTGGGCCTTTGGTCGGTGGACTTTCACGCCCATCGCAGAGGGCGGCGCCGAGCATGCTTCCAGTGAAGGGACCTTGCTGCGAATGACGATGATTCTGGGGCGGTACGAGAGTGGCAAGTGGAAGAAGAAGCTCGAGACTGGATCATTTCTAGAAGTTGAGAGCGGCGAGGGCGAGTTGATCGTTACAAAGATCGCATGAGAAAAATGAGTAGACGAAAAGATGATAGAGATACATACTTACACGACATAAAAGGCGCACATGGGGAGTTTCAAAGTGGTACTTTGAGGCATTGCAATGCGCAACGAGTAGAAAGCAGGAGTTAGTTGAGAGCGTAGAATTTAGATCAATCACCGCACTTGATTGTGCTATGAAAGTCGCAAAGTCTCAAAGTTTTAAGTAGACCTCTGAGTTGCCAGCCCGTTCCTTGAACTATCAGTGCGGATGTCTCAATGCGAATGTTGACGTATACCCAAGACGGCCTCAACGCCGAGCATTGCAGACAAGTTCAGTGAATCAATGTCGTTGTTTTGACGAGTGATGTTGATTTCTTTTTTGTTTCGGCTTCTATGTTGTACAAAACACCGGGTATCTCACATATTTTTACACCTCTAGACTACAAAGTTGATTGTCTTGCCGCCACGAGCCAAGATGACTCTTCTCGGGGAAGTGACATCGAATTGACCTCCAGTAAACTTGGCCTTGCCCTCATCAGACTTGAGAACCTCCGCGACCATCCAGTCGCGTAATGCCTCACCCTCCAGACCAGATGGAGGGTTGGGAACTTCTACAACACCGCGCAGCTTTCCGTTGATCTGGATAGCCACTGGCTGCTTACGCGGCTTCAACAGGGACAATGTGTTGTCTTGCGCAGGGAAAGTGGTTTCCTCAAAGATGGAACCGGATTCGGGATGCAAGAGACTCCAGCACTCCTCGGAAAATGCTGGTGCAACTGGAGCCATCATCCGAAGGAGAACGGACATCGCTTCCCTCTGGACAAGTGGGCTCGCTCCAGTGTTCTCCTGAAGGGTATTGGTCAGACTCATAAGGTCCGAAATAATGGTGTTCATCGGATAAACAGTCTCGTAGGACTGGGTAATGGAACTGATTGTTCCTTGAACCGCTCTCCAGATGGCAGCGTCAGCATCCCAGACAGCCAGTTCCTTGTCGCCGAGAGAAGACAAGCTGTTTGAGCGCTCTTCGAAGTAAGCCACGATGGGCCTTTCTTCGGCTGATAACTCCTGAAGTTTGGCTGCATGGTCATGAAGCCTATGCAGCCAACGCGTGACTCCGGCGATTTTGTCCTCGTCCCAGTTTAGGATGTCGCCCACAGGCGCTTGGAAGAGAACGTGAGCTCGGGTCGCATCGGCGCCGTACTTGGATATGAACTCGGTCGGGTCCACTCCGTTGTACTTGGACTTGGACATTTTCTCAAACGACACATTTGCCGTCGCCCCCGTTGCTACAACTTTAGGGTTGGCAGGGTCCTCCAAGTCAACCTCATCTGGCTTCAGGAACTTCCCTGACGTGGGGTCGGTGTACGTCTTGCCGTGCACCATGCCCTGCGTGATAAGTCTCTTGAATGGTTCGTGGACTGTGTCAGCTTCACCAGAAGCAGGGAACAGTTCTGTCGTGGCCAAGAACTTGTAGATAAACCTGGCATATAGGAGATGCAAGATGGCATGCTCAATGCCGCCTATGTAAAGGTCCACCGGCAGTGATTCCGCTG